AAGCGCAATTAAACGGTTAATAGTTAGCAATATTATAACTGTTTTCTTACAATAATGTGGACCAGAGCGCCTTCGGAGCACCTGACATTTTCGTGAAACATGCGCGTCCGCATTGGTAATACTCCGTCTTCAAACGCACCGCCGACCACGCCCCACGGTTTTGCACAACTAATTCATTTTTGTACAATTAAATATGATTTTCTCATTGTCAAAATCTTTCAATAGTGTTATTGTTGGCACTTGCGAGAGAAGTGAAAGAGGCAAACTGTGTTTCATTACAACAATTAATTATTAGCGCTAAAAAATTAACTAGATCTGAAGTTAATATAAACAATTTTCACCGCTGGACGTATCTTTTCTCGTTATGGATTTTGTGCAAGGCCCAGCATAATTTGCGGGCAAAGATCAAAGCATTTACTATGTCGAAAAGTTGAAAAGCGGCAATATAAAATACTAAAAATAAAACTGTAAATAATATAAGTTTTGTTGAGGCCCGCGACAGTCTAAAAACGCTTTTCTAGGCATCGAAAATCGCAAAATTTCGTGTGCTTACGGCACAAATTATGTTTGCTTGACCCTTAAAAACATTTCGTTACTATATTCAAAACACGGTCAATTGTGAACGGGATTTGCCTTTTTATCCATTACTTTTAAATTGACGTCGCAAATTTTCGTGTTAACAAACAAAGCTGAGAACGCGACTTTTCCCCGGTTTTTGATGATATATAAGATAAATAAAGTATATTCGATCACTTTTTGTATTTATTTATTTTTATTGTACTGAAATAACTTTTACTACGTGAGAATTGACAGAAAATTTACGGATTTTTCGAAAGGGGTTATCTTTAAAAATGTGTGACAAGTACATCTCAAATTTATCGAATTCGCAAAATAGCAAAAATACGGATCAAAGCAATATATAAACAGGCAGTTTACCACACATTTTTATGCCCGCGGATTGCCGTCGTGTTTTAAGGTGGCTCTTGTTTTGTCGACTCAACCGCAGTTTAAATTGAAGACAATTAAATTAATAAATCAAGACATTTTGAATATGCCGGTATCGGTCTTTGATTGATTACTTTGCACAAGTGAAAAATCATTTTTCGTTGATAAAGTCTGCTCTTTTAACAAGTGGCATAATCGCGGCGACTGTTCCGCGTGGATTTCGAGGCGATGAATTTGTATTTTAGATTTACTAGTATACTTTATAACTATTTTCATTGTATGAATTAAAATTGTACTATATGGGATTTTATATCAGATATCGAGATTTTTGTAACGACGATAACGAGTTCGGAAGATTGCAAAAATAGGTATAAAAATTAAATACATCAGGCAGCTTATCTCATATTTTTATGTCCACATATCGCCGTGGTACTTTAGTTTAGTAATATTTTTTTTTGACGTAAGAAGTCGCAACCGCGAGTTCCGTTGTACACTATTAAATTAATATATAAGGACATTTTAGAATCTCGTGGCTGTCATGGATCGACGGAAAAATCATTATACGCTTAAATAGGCGGCTCTTTTAACGAGCGCGTAATCGCGGTGCTTGTTGCAGACGGCAATGGGAAGTTCCGACTTTGACCCCCCCCGCCTTTTTTTAAATCCTGGCCTCGTGCCTGTTTATTTTCGTATAAAATTATAAATAAAAACCCTGCAAAGTCGAATCCTGAATGTTATTTCGAGTTCAAATGATGATTTAATAAATCGGCAATAATGGCAATTCTACTAGTCAAATGATAATTCCTTGGTAAAATTTAGGAAAAAAATTCGCACAATAGCTTGTTACCTTGTTTTGGATTTCTAATTTTACGAAACGGCGTTAGTGCGCTTTATGCAGAACTAGCAATTGAAACAATAACCTAATAAGACTCCTCAAATATGTTATTTTCTGTTTGTTAGCAAGAGCCGTGGGCTAATTCTCGCGGAATTCAAGAAATTGGTTCAGTGACGCGCAAGTTCCGTGTCCGATCAAAGCAGCCTAGGTACTCGATATATGAGTAGCAAAATGACATGCTAATACTTAGAGAATGACATCGACAGGTTATTGTTACGTGACGATACACGGCGCGGTGTTTTTCGGTAGGCGATCCAAGTTCGCTCCCCCAAAATTATGGAAAGTGTCCGCCCCTGGCTGTATAGTAAGTCAAAAATAAATATTCGCCGGCATCGTCAAATGTTAATTGAATACATTGCGCTATTTCATTACTAATGACGATCGACGAGCGGCTGATAATATAAGTCTCTTTCGAATAGTAAAGCAGTTTGTTTACTATTGATTACGTCAACTTATTCAAGCTGTGCGAGACAATTTTTACGCGATAATCACAACACGAAAGATACGGCCGACGCGACGCTGAACGCAAGTGACCTACTCAAACATAACACGTCATTGCTCGGCTACGATTACCGCTGCGGCATTGTCTGTGGTATCATTTTGTTAGAGAAACAAACAGCAAAACCACTATTATGCACACGAGATAGCTCACATAGGATAAATGACGACTCAACGGCCCGGAACGAAAGAGTGAGGAATTTCTGTTTACAAAAATCGCTAGATTCTCTCACGTACGCGGAATACCGTACGATAAACGGTCCATTAGCGACCTCTTGTGTATAGAAAACATAAAGACGCTTCATAAAAGCCCTCAATGGCATCTCAGGCTGTTTTGGTTAACCGAAAAATGCCAATAAAAAAATGTTTGCAAAATGAGTCTTGTCACTTGTACATACCTTTATCATATTTCACCAAAACCTGTAGGGTCACATTTTGGCCAGAACAGCCATAGACCACTTATAACACTGTCGCCCTTGAGTGGTGCATACCATATATGAACACACCCTTTAAACTTGACCATTCCCGCGTTTTATAGTATGTGGTATCATCACTCAATAGTATTGTACATTCATCCAAATTCTCAATTTTTTTTTTTTTAAAAAATTTTTTTTATTACTATATTCATATGCAGTGTGTTTCATGTTGTGTTGTGTCTCTATTTATAGATGTTGTTTTGTCTAACAAACTCCTTTGTACAAACAGTTTTGTACACTCCACCCATATCCCTGTTACCGCATCCACCCACCCTCCTTGCACAACTGCCTGTATAAAGGACCATATTGTACATATTTGCTTTACCCTATTATAATTTATATATATCAAAAGGGGTGTATGCCGCACATCTGTGTTTTAGGCCAATATGGTCTTGTGCATACATCCCGTCTTCAGTACTTATAATTACTTACTCTTTTATATTGCTTTTACGAGACGAATAAACATACATACATACATGAGCTCAACCAACCAAATTTTTAAATCAGTTAATTCTGTTTTTAGTGAATCCGAATATCACTAATTAGTTAGTTATTTGTTTTCAGAAGTATGGACTTGGTGGTGAAGGAAACTTTAACCGACCAGGGGTTACGTGAACCACTATACAGCAGCGAGAACTCCAGCAATCCTCTCGCACATAGCTATTTCCGCACAGGATTCAAATCTGTAAACCCATGGAGACTAATCAAAGGTACGATGGCGAGCGTTTTCCAAACGCTTAGCACGATGAAATTTTTTTTTATCAGATCAGAAACTAGATGATGCGCCATTGTTGACATTTTCTATGGCGCGGTAAACAAATAGAGAATTTGGAATGAATAGGGAAATGCAACGAATCCACAACCAGCATTACCTTGATCAACCCCAGACTCTTTACTCTCAACTCTCTGTTCAACCAAACGTCCACTCTGATCACTGCCTGATGTGCTGGGAATGGCCGAGCCTGCAACAACAGAAATATGGTTGTCCTACTGTAGAAGCATTATGAAGTCAATCTCAATTTTGAAGTAATGCATTTTCGACAAACTTAAATCTAATTGTTTATTATACTTGATATTTGGAATATCAGGTCTTCTGATTGATCAACAGTGGTTAGGGTTTGTGTAAACTTATTTACACTTTCATCTCAACGAGAATAAAGCCTAACAAAAGAACATAGTAAAAAATCTCTTTGTTATAATTGTACCATTTCTTTTATTACCTTCGCTTTTTGCCACCTCCTCACTCTCTCTAGTTGATGATGGACTGCCATTGTTGCTGCTTCCCACTGCGCTTGGTTCAGAAGTACTCTTTTCAGAGATTTGAGAAGGATCTGTAACAAGAATATTTACATGTTGAATTATCATGTTACTGCTGACATGACATCAAGGGAAATGAACAAAGGAAAAGTAGCAGTATTGCTTTACATATATTAGCACTTGACGAAAGCAATGTAACACATGATATTGCCATTGTACGGTGGTTCACAAAAACTCCGGACACTGGATAATATTATGTGACTAATCAAGTAAAACTAAGGTGAATGAATGAACGTAGGCTAGAAGAAATATTGCTTTTCAAGCAGAATAGCATCTGAAACAAATACTTATTAACATTTCCCATACCCGACATGGACTCATTACCAGACGAGAAGCCAAGGTCGACATTATGACTGTACTGCCTTATTAGTTACCTTTTTTCTCCCCTGAGAAAAATTTGAAAATTACCAATCGTGTGATGAATTATCTGTAAGACGCGCGATACCAAAACTAGATGTTGCGTTATGGTTGAAAATTTTTGATGCATGGTAAACTAATAGAGCATTTGTAATGGAGAAATGTGTAGAAAAAAATATTTAGTAAGAAATACACTTAGATCAAGCAGGATTGGGGGAGATTAGACAGTTCGATAGCAGGCTGAATTTTTCAACATTTTTTCAAATCTCTTCTTCGAACAAGGAGTTAGACAAATAGTTTTATGAGATATTACCATGCTCTTGGAGGACTAGAATTTTCCCCATCAAGATTATTATGTCATAGATGAAAGGATCATTTGAACCAGATATCCTTACCATGCATTGCTAACATAGTTTGATACAAAACTCAAATCATCAAGTCATTTCTCCAAATCCACAACCAGCATTACCTTGATCAACTCCAGTCTCTTTACTCTCAGCTCCCTGTTCAACTGAACATCCACTCTGACCACTGCCTGATGTGCCGGGAATATCCGAGCCTGCAACAACAGAAATATCACAATTTTAATCGAGCTTTTCTTTTTCGTTGGGTTTTTCATAATAATCCATCTGCAGTTGATCGACGACTCAAACGAAATGAAGTAATATTACAATGACAAAGTCGTCGGTAACTCGGCAACAGGCTCTGTCTGCTCAAAATACTGGAAAAGATCTCAGCGGCATATGCTTTTCGAGAGAAAAAACTCTGATGATCCTATTATATTGTGCCAGGTTAGATGGCACCAAGAGTTTCAAGTTCAAGTTATAATCAAGTTCATTTTTCCAGCCAGTAATAAAGTTACAAAATTAGGAGAAACAAAATTTAAACACAATTTTAAGTGAAGACGCCGAGAGCTATTTTTTCTTGTACCTGCTGCGGAACTAGATGTTGCGTCATGGTTGAAAATTTGCGGGGCGTGGCAAACTAATAGAGAATTTGGAATAAATAAAGCAATGCTTAGAGAAAATATATAAGTGGCACAAACTATTTGCTGTAATATGAAATACACTTAGATAAGGGTGGATTGTTGGAGATTAGACAGTTTGATAGCAAGATTAATATTAATAAAGATAATAGTAAATAATAATTAATAACTCAAGTCGTTTGATACAAGTAATTTTTGAACAAATCCACAACCAGCATTACCTTGATCAACTCCGGATTCTTTACTCTCAGCTCTCTGTTCAACCAAACGTCCACTCTGATCACTGCCTGATGTGCCGGGAATATCCGAGCCTGCAAAAACAGAAATATGGCTGCCATACTATGAAAGCATTAGGAGACTATTGATCTTATTTATTTCAAAACTTTCTGTGAGCTCTAGGGAATTTGGAACCATTTGGAAAATAAATATTAAAGTTATAGCTCAACATAAGGCCGTTTTGTGCAAAGTTAGGCAATGTAACGGCATTTAATAAATTAACTAATGAATTATCGAATCTATTACACAGCAACAGAAATATGGCTGCCATACTATAAAAGCATTATCAGGTCAATCTCAATTTTAAAGTAATACATTTTTTGACAAACTCAAACAGAGTATGGTAAAAATACTCGGTATTGGGAAGATCAGGTTTTCTGATATTCGTACTGGAGAGAGAAATGTGAGCAACAGTGGATAGGGGTTATGTAAACATATGTATGTATACATGAATATGGCACATTTAACTGGTTCCCATAAAATTTTTCTTTCTTCGAAATATATTTTTTTAAATTTCTCTCAAGTTTTAAACTATGCCAACTTTCACCAAAATCATTTCAGAATAACATAGTTGAAGTATTTAGGATACATGTGCTAAGGAGGTGAATGTTGCACAAATGGAAAACTTTGTTGACAAAAAAACAAAACTAAACTGAATATTGCTCACATCACCTAATCTATAAAAATAGTAATATATAAATCAAACAAGAATTGTTAAAACAAGTTTATGCCAAAGTAAGTCGAGGTGAAGCTTCATACCCAATGGACGCCCGATCCAAGGATAACCGGATAACGACTCCGAGCACCATTTTGTGTGTAACCATGGGAATGGAAGCGAAAGGAAAAATTGGGAAAAATTATGGCCCAACCCTAACCAGATACGCATGCTACATTCCGGTGTTCACTATTTTGGTTCATATACTAAGGGAGTGCCAAAGTAGTTACAAACTTAGGAGATATAAAACTAAAGACAGCTTTACTGGGAAAGCAAAAATGTGAGACAGATACTTTTTTTACACCAGCATAACTAGATGATGACTAGATAAGACTAGATAAAAATATTGTAAGGCATGTTAAACAAATAGGGAATTAGGAATAAATAGATCAATGTTTAGAAAAAATATTAAGAGTGGAACAAATTATTTTATAGGGAATGTACTTAGATAAGGCCACATTGTTGGATAACAAGTTTGATAACAGACTGAATTTTTTCATTGTAATTTCAAATCTCTTCTCCGAATAATCCGATCAGGCGCGCAGTCAGGATTTTCAAAAGGGGGGGGGGGGTTCATAATCATAAATTCCCATTGCGGCCTGTAACAGTCTTCGCATTACGCGATCGTTAAAGGGACGTCTTTTCAGCGTATAATGATTATTCTTGTCGCGTGAAATATTCAATCTCTGACAACTACAAAATTCTAAAATGTCTTTATATATTAGTTTAATTGTGTCCAACGTAACTCGCGGTTGCTTCTTCTTACATCAAAATTAAAACATTAGTTCTCTGAAATGCCACGGCGATCGGTGGACATAAAAATATGAGATAAACGGTGTATTTAATTTTAATACGTATTTTTGGAATCTTGCCAACTCGTTATCGCCGTTAGAAAAATCTCAATAACTGATAGAAAATCCCGAAAAGTACAATTTTATTTCGTAGAATGAAAATGCATATGAAGTATATCGTTAAATCAAAAATACATATTCATCGCCGCGAATACGCCACTTGTTAAAAGAGCCGACGTTTACAACGAAAAATGATTTTTCTGTTGTGCAAAGTAATCAATTCGTGACCGATAAGGGCATATTTGAAATGTCTTACTTTATTAATTTAATTGTCTTCAATTTAACCAGCGTTTGCGTCGACAAAACAAAACAATTTTTCACAATTTACAATTTTAAAATACCTCGGCCATTTGCCGACATAAAAATAAAAATTTGTGGTTACTGCCCGTCGCCTATCATATATTGTTTTGATCCGTATTTTTTCTATTTTGCAAATTCGACAAATTTGAGATGTGCTTGTAACATTGACTCCGTTCAATCGCAATGCTGACACTCCGATTATTTTTAAAGATAAAACCTCCTGAAAAACCCGTAAATCTGCTGTAAATTCTCATGGAGTAAAATTTATTTCAATACAATAAAAATACAATAAGATATACTTCGGATTAATTATCTTATATATCATCACAAACCGGGAAAAAATTGCGTTCCCAACCTTGTTTAATGATAACACGAAAATTTTCTACGACAATTTTAAAGTAATGGATAAAAGGCAAATCCCACCCACAATTAACCGTGTTTCGATTTTAGTGACGGTATGTTCCTAAACGACGACCAAACATAATGTGCGCCGTAGGCACACGAAATTTTGCGATTTTGCGACTAGAAAAGCGTTTTTAGACTGTCGCGGGACTCAACAAAACTTATATTGTTTACGTTATTATTTTCAGTATTTTATAATGCCGCTTTTCAATCAAATTTAGATCGCGGTTTCACTCCTTCTTTTGTCTTTAGAACCTCGCCACTGATGAACGTAACTCACGAATACACAATTCCGTGCAAAGTACAAAAATAAATAATTATCATGTTTATCGTGGCACAAATTTATGATTTAGAAAGAATAAAAACCGACGTAAGGGCGTTTACGGCCTAAATAACACGCTGATGAAAACATGGGCGATTTTAGCAGAAGGCAATTGCACGCTTTTTCAGTTTCCACATTTCCGTGCGGGTACAAAAATGAAATAATTATCGTTGTTCACGCGGCACAAATTTGTGATTTAAAGAGAATAAACACCAATGTAAAGGGCGTTCACGGCATAAATAACATGCCGCGTTGATGAAAACGAACGGCGATTTTAGCAGAAGGCAATTGCACGTGTTATCGGCAACTTTTTCACTTTTCAGAAAATTCAAAAGGGGGCGGGATTGCTGCGCCACTGGGCTGCATCACTGATAATGGCTGGAGCTGGAGCCAACTTTACATTTTGCTCATATCTTTCATTACCTCTACTTTTCACTCCATCTGGTCCCTGCCTTGCAGGTGATGGAATACCACCTTTGCTTCTTTCCACTGCGCTTGCTTTGGAAGAACTTTTTCCTGAGATCGGAGAAGGATCTGAAACAAGTAAAGATGGATAATATTTACAAAACTTTTCCTGAGATTGGAGAAGGATCTGAAACAAGTAAAGATGGATAATATTTACGAGACTGATCAAGCAAATTCACTTATCGTTTATTCCAACTTCTCACTAAAACCATGTATCGCCTCAGTAAAACCAAATTGGCTTATGTCATATTTCCAGCTTATGAGAAAATCAAACTTCAGTAAATTTCAGAAATTGCATCTGTATGGGAAATAGGTCGATAAATAAAACATTCTTAACAAGGCCCAAGACATACCGTAAGCTACAATGCCAAAGATTCAGAGAATCAGGAGACATGGTATTTCAAATTATTTGAGTCAGTGCTGTTGGGTCTAGGAATTCCAAAATGCAAGTACTTTGCAGGGTTGCCAGACCCCAGCGATCAAAAAAAGCCAAATCAAGACATAAAAAAAGCCAGAAAAAGCCAACAATTTTACTAAGTACAAAAGCCCCATGATTTGTCAGATTTTAAGCCCTTGGCAACGTACTGATGATGATGTAGAGCCATCAGTTCATTCAGTGAGGCACACAAATAGAAAGTAAAGTTTCTATAGAACTGTAGAAAGTAAAATAAATAACAAGCGAACAGCATTATTTTACCATTCAATATATACAATAGGCCTACAGGGCGCCGCTTCAGTCTGTCAGTATTTAATATACCTACATGTTTCTACTTAAACTTGTGCTACACCTTAAAAAAATTCTCCCTATATCGTACTTTACTATTGAATATTTTTTTACTTTTAAAATTTATAAACCATCAATTTTATTAAAAAATTATCTAACCCCCTGCCGCTCACAGGTGGACCACTGATATCTAATTCAGTAATTTTAGCGTAGTTAATCACATCGTTACTGCAATTGCAGAATTGAACTAAAGCTCACATAAACCATATCAGGCATAATGAAAATTAAGTTATACAGCTATTTTTTGGAAACAGAACGTAAAACTGACAAACAACACGCAAAAACTATAGAAACGAGGCAATGTTTACAACCCTGCTCGAACATCTGTCTGAGCAGCTGCAGAAACTGCAATTATTTCTTATTGGGTATGGTTAAGAGTTAATGTAACAAACAAGGAAATCGATGCTCCAGGGATTCTAATGTTAAGTAGCTAATACTGTGATAAGTAGGCTACAGGTAATACGCCATTGTTCAGTTGTTACACACTAAATATTGTATTTCATATGATTCTAATAATAGAACTAGAATAGACTCGAAAAAAACCAAAAAATAACGCCAAAAAGCCAAACGAAAATTCTGACGCCAAACGCGTTTGAAAAAAGCCCAAAATGGCAACCCTGGTACTATGACATTACCTCATATCTAAGCCTATGGACCTTTTCCCAAACTTTGACCCCCGAAAAATTCTTCCTATACTTTACCATTGCAAAATTTTCGGGGCTATTTTAATGGTGCTTTTGCGAGCGCCTGAGAAATGGGGTGGGGGAAAGTGGGGAAAGTTGGGACACTTTTTTTCTTCTGCATATTTTGAGTCTTTAATTCTGCATATTCACTCAAATCGGCAGGACTAATGCATAGAGGGGTAAATGTAGTTTTTATTCAGCGACTAAGAAATTCCCTTGCAACACACATCTCACAACCAAAATGCTTTGAAAAACGTCTGTCAAGTGTCCCACTGTACCCCACTTATGGGGCACATTCGGACAGACCCTGGGGCACAATGGGCCAGTCTGTCAAAATTCAACAAAGTATGCCCTCAAAAATAAGCAATTAAACAGCATAATCGTCTAAAGAACAGGGAGACTTCAAATTTGAAGATTTAATATTTTTAAAATCAATGTTCAACTGAAATAGTTCAGATATTTTGACAAAAAATTTCGCAAACAAATTTGATTATTTCCTTCCTCTAATTTGAATCTGGAAATATTATTGATTCTCGAATATATTCCATATTGGGCCATGGGTCGAAAAAAACCATAATGTTACCCAAAATATAACGCATCTCTAGGTCTCTAAGCACTTATTGTATCAAACACTCTCGAATTGTGCCCTGTAGGCATGTCCCACTAAATCCCGATCCATTGTTCCCCATAGGAAACAAATATTTTCAGACCTTCCCACGGCGAAATTCGGAAAGCACATCCACTGGCCAACGTTATGAATATTTTACAGTGGAAGCTGGAATGGTGAAATTTTAGTTTCAACCCCCCAAAACCAATTTCACCTCATAGCTTGCGCCGCTATACTCGTTCACGGGAAGGTGTGTAACTCACCGAAGGGCGGATCGAAACATCGAACCGCGGACAGGATTGCGGATATAGTATCAGTGTGAGAGATGATTTTCCACTGTGCCCCATGTCCCAACCTTCCCCTATGTGTTTCAAACCATCTTTATGATTCATAGCATACAACAATCTGTTTTTTTTAAAGTACCAATAAAGAATTTTAGCCTAGTCTATCACAGCTATTTCTACACTAATTTTTATTACTGCAATTAAAAAAAAACTCCTAGGAAGACAGAGTGATCCTTGAATTATCTACATTTAAGTTTCCGAAACACAAGTGAAAACTAACCAATAGAGTTCAAAAAAGCGAAAACGAGGTAATGTTTACGACCACGCTTGAAAATCTTTCTGAGTGAGAAAAGTGTCTGAGCGGATGCAAAAAGGGAGCATTGTTACGTCACTTTTTGCATCTTGCTGACTGGCCAATGCCACGAAGTAAACAAGGAAGCCGATGCTCGGGAAAAGGTCCATTAGGTGGGTTTATGAACTCCAATCTAATCATAATCTATTATATTGTGTCAGGTCGAATAGCACCAAGACAACCAAGATAACTGTGGTGGATTTCAAGATGCCGGACTTCATACAAAGTTGAAGAGTTTAATGGACTGTAAAGGTAGCAGAGATCTCTTAACAGCAAAAATGATTTCACATTGCCAATATTCCTATTCTAATTTGAACTTCGGGACATTATGGATGAGATAAAAGTAATGAATTGGTTGGAAATACCGCAGATTACGATACATCTCTGACAGAACTGCTGGCCATATACGCACCTTGATCAAATCCAGGTTCCTTCGTAGTCAAACACTCTCCTGCTGTTCTAGAGGTCAACGATGCAGAGAACGATTTGCTGGGATCTGTAATGGAAAGAATACAATTCTAGCAAAGCTGAGTAATTTCACTATTCTCAATTTTTCGAGTAATGGACACCAAAGGTTGGAAATTTTAACAACAGATAGATACCGTTACCTATGACATAGGATATGATTTGTCACATTTATTCCAGGGAGAGGAAAGCTGATAAGGTGGCTCAAAGTCAAACAAATCTAACCCAGATATGCCATCACGAATCCAACTGCACATGAAACTACAAGTAAAAGCCACAACTTGGAATTACAAACTGAGAAATACCAGGAATTTCGAAAAGTGCTTTACAGTTGAAAAGTACCGGTAACCATTCCGGAATAACCGGACCTAACTTAATTTATATTTTTCAAATATAAACATTGCAGTTGTCACTTACGCATAAGAACAAATGATGTTTATCATGATACTCACCCATTTCGAGCAAACTTGTTTAAATGCTTGAAATTTTGAAAAATATTATTAAGATCGTGAGATATTTAAGATAAACTGCAAAAATAGAGAAAATTTTGTGAATGTTCTACCTGACCTTAAAAGTTCGGCTCAAGGAATGACGAATAGGTTATAAAACGCTAAGTCCATTCTCTCTAAACAAGGTGGCCACTGAGATTTCCTAAGTTGCAATGACAACATAAATTAGGTTATTGTTTCAACTGCAAGGCATTTGGAAAAAACTTTTTTCATCAAACGGAATCGTTAACCTATAGACCATCGTGCCAACCAAACCAATATAATTTAATATTTGAAAAAAAATTATGACATCTGGTCCAGGTCATAAATTTAGTCGCAATATGTGTCACACCTAACAAAACTATGCTATAAAGATTAATAATAAAAATATATCGAAAATTGCATCAGCCCTCGGCTCAATTTCCAACATGCAATGTGGCCCCGAAAGCCCTATAGCTTGACAATTGACTATCCAGAGCCTGCGAGTTTGAACCTCTGACATACCCGATCTAACGTTATCGTTAACCATTTGACCTGACATGGGCAAACTAAGGCCCGCGGTCAAATCCGGCCCGTTGGGTAATTTGATCTGACCCGCCTGATGCAGCAGCGACCAAACTAAAACCAAATTTTGAGTTGAAAATAGCTCAAGGAATATGTTGACATTGCGATTAAATTTACCTAGTTTTGGCCGAGGCTTCTTGTTTGCAATTTTTGCTTTGTAACACTGCAAATATTGTCCATAAAATGTTAACTTTTTTATGTCACACTAACATGACCCGCCTGTCTGAGTGGTTAAAATTTTGGCCCCTGGTCCGAAAACCTTTGCCCACCCCTCCATTAGGCTGTCGCGCTGACCAAATTAATCTTTAATAAGTGATTTCAATATCACTCAATTTCTACATACTTTTATTGTTCCATTTATTCGATTGAATCTATATATATTCATATAAGAATGAATTTTTTACATGTAATAAAAATTCCAACTCATATTATGTATCATGATATAACTTACTTGTACAGTTGAATATTAAACTGGTACAATATGTGTAATCTTTACATTCAGTTTTACCTTACCCTTGACAATCATGACACGCGAATCTGTTTTTAATATATTTTCAGGATAATTTCATGTAATTTACTCGTGTTGTACTGGTATTTATATATATTCATTGTGCTCTCTTTACTCCTGCCAAAATATGATGCACTTTTTTCCTTACAACATATGGGTACTGGAACTGTACAGTGGCAATACTTCGTTACCCATGGTTTTTATTTGTTATATTGGCAAATAAGACAAGTTAATTTATGGATCAATCCAATCTGATTATGCGAT